ACTATTCGTTTTGAGCTCTTTTGGGTAATTTATTATATCGTGAGAATTTTATTTTATTGATTGTTCAGATTGCTTACAGTCAGAAACTAGCAGAAATTAATTATTTTTTATTAAATATCAGCTTTCTTTAATTTTTAATAAGGAATAATATTTTATTCTAAATAGACAAATTGTTCTTTCTATTACACTTAGAGTAAGATTTTCATGTGTGGAAAACTTTAAATTGCAACTATGAATAATTAAATCAGTTTTCCATAATTCCTCCTTCACCATTTTAACATAGTTAAATCAATTTCCTTTTTGAGTTATCTGAAGTGAAAGTATTAGAGTCTGATAAAAAAATTTTGTAATTATTTTATATTTCTAACAATAATCAACTGCGACATTGAATACGCTTAAAAGCAATATTATTCAAATAATATTGTTTTTAATTAATATTGCTTAAAATTGTTACAATTTCAAACAAGTCTATTTTTGATGATTTTTTTTAATGGCTAGGCCAAGATGTTTACGCACATTAAATAATATTTCTATTTAGAATATTATAAAAATAAATCGAATAAAAAATATAGAATACTTTATTTCATAAAGTGTGCTAATTCGGGTTAGGAAGCTCTTTACCGGCACAAAATGAAACAGGAGAATAATTATAGTTCTTCAGAAACAAAGATGTCTGCAAAGAAGTTATAAAGTGAATGGTTTTAACTTAAAATAAAAAAATAAACTTTCGTGTCAAGAAACAAAAATCAATCAAATCGGATGGAGAGGATCCTTGATCAGCGTAATATCTTGTTTTTAGGATATAACCTTTTTTAATGTCATTTTAGATATAAAATCTTGTTTTTTAAAGTAATAAACTAACAAAACCAAATATAATAAAATAAATTAATTATAAAACAAATTAATAAAAAAAGTAAAAAGGGCTCACGATACAAACTTTAAAAGAAAGTTTTGAGATTTAGTTTTTGTTTTAACCTTGTTTTAACCTTTAGTTTTGTTTTGCATTTGCTGATAATTTCATCAGCAAATGCATTAATAAAGCAAACGTCTCAGGAACGTAGCTTGTGATCTTTTTTTCCTCAGAATATGAGAGTTCTCGAGAATCATATACACATTCTCCTGGTACTTCGACAGCAGACGACTACAAGCAAATATACCGGTTGTGTTTTACGAAAGAGCCATTCCTTTTTATAAACTTACCTCTTAAGCGATCATCATTTGGCATATAATGGGGCGAAAAAGAGTGCCAATCTAGTAGGAAATAAAACCTAGACTTAGTTGAGAGTATTGTGATTGATCATCCCCATGACCATGAAAAGGGGGAAGCAGAGACATTCGGTGAAACACCCCTGAAACGGAAATTTTCAAGTAAAACAAACACTATATTCTTAGAAGAACAAATAACTGGTGTTCATTTAACATGTTATACGAACATCCATGAGTGGTGCATCTTGCCTGCAGTTTTTAGTGAGTTACAGGTGCGTGTAGAACAATTGAATAAAATGTAAGTTAATGAATTAACTGCTAAACGTCATAGTCCTGAAATAGAGTTGCAGACATAAAGTATAGTTTTGAAAGAAATATTTATCATTCTAACACAAACTAGCAGAAAAACTGCTTGAAATATTAAATTTTCACGTGCTTATGTAAGAACTGAGATATGTTTTTATCCTGAAATTATAAGTAATTAAATTAAATAAGTTGCGATGAGTGATATAAAAAAAAAAAAAAAACGTAACACATTCTTGAAAAAAGAAGGAAGGAAAAAAAACCAAAGCATTTACGCATGATATTTATTATTTCAAATCTCTTCTTAATGTACTTCATGAATATTCAATTAATCATTTACATAATAATTTTCTAAGAAAAATTACTATCGCAGCAGAATTACATAATTGAGTTATTAAATATTATGCAGCTAAAATTCTGAAAGCAAATACAGAAGAAAAAAATATATATACACATAATTCAATTCATACATATGTACCTTTGTACTACGTTATCACTTTGTTGCAGAATACCTTGATAAATATGTATATTCTTTAATTCGTTGGAATCCTGTAGAAAGAAAAGGAGAGTACATAAAGTACATTTATTTGATTTGAATTAACTCGCATGAGTCTGGAAAAAAAAATATCCTTGCAAACCTTTCTTGCAACGATTTTTTAAACATAATTATTAGCATTCAATTAATCCCTTCACCTCAGTTAATAAGTGCATTGATAGTTAGATTTTTATTGGATGTCATTGATACGTGACACCGATATGGTCATAGAGTTATAAATAAGTTTTATATAAGTTAAGTATTATAAGTTTATTACTCTATGGATATGGTTGACACTGAGTGAGATCACACACACAAAATGATCAAATTTAAATTAAATAATTGCCAGTTTTGAAGAAAATAATTCTGTAGTTCTCTTATCCGGGCCGTTAATATATATTTTACGAATCCTTATAAGAAATGGAATAACAAACGTGTGTAGGGATCAAATTAATATTTAGGAGAGAAAGAACGAGCACGCTGCCGAACTTTGATAAAAAACAAGATATAACGAGGTTAATAAGAGATGAAGGATTAAAATCATTTGAAATTATTTTGATCGAGAACAAAGTTTTAAGGCGTTTGTGATCAGAAGCCAAGTATATTTCAAAAAAATCAACAGTTTGTTTTGTTTTTTGTCTTCTGACTCAAAGAATATTTGGTTAGAAAAATTTTTATCCAGATATATCAAATATTTCAATATACATATATCAGATATTTCAATATAACATACTAGAAAAAGTTATTAGTAAAATAATAAAATCATAGGAACCCTAGTACTTAAGTGTTTGAATTTTAACACTGTATAAAAAGTTCATGTTTATTTCATCATTTTGATATTTTCTCCATTACAATTGCAATACTATTTGCTCAAATTTTATTCAGATGTTGACAAAAGACAACCTGATGTCCCGTCAAATTTTCTAACAGTAATGTAGAAGAGTCAGAAGATGTAACAAGTCATTTTTCACTTTTAAAAAAAATTGTAAGAAGGCAAGCAGAAAATAGACCAGTTTATTGAATCAAAATATACAGGCAAGCTCTTCATAATTCCAAATTCTAGGCGTAGCAGTTTTATTATAAAGCATTTACTCTGGTTTTTGGAGTGGTTAGTAGTTGTATAAATGTTTTTTTTTTTTCCTTGCTTGAATAAGAGTTTGAGAAAACAATCATATTTTGCATTACACGTAAAGAGGAACCACGGAAATATATTTCAGATTGCTTGATTCCATTTAAAAGCTCAGCAATAGCAATTAATTTTTTATAATAAAATTTTTTTAGCATCTTTGAGAGACTTCTTTGTGAATACGAGGGTCACTCTGAAATTTTTGAGATACAACTAGGTTTTTAAAGTTACGCTTACAAAATTTTAGGTGTGTTCAAAGTAGTCTCCTCTAGCACAATGCACTTTTGGAGTCGAATTTTCCACAGATTAAATGCCTCAAGCCATTCATTTCTTGGAATAGATGAAGAAAATGCATTTATAGTCACATCAATCTTTTCTTCTGAAGGAAAACGACGTCCACATAAGTTCTTTTATAGATTAAAGAATAACCAAAAGTCACACATGGCTAGATCAGGTGAATACGGCGGATGTTCTATCACTTTAATTTGTTTTTGTTTAAGAAACTCAACAGTTAATCCGGCTGTATGTGAAGATGCATTATCATGGTGAAGAACTAGTCCCCTAACAATTACTTCTTGTAGAATTTCTGGAAGACATTTAGTGGTATGCCAGTTTGCTGTTACTGTCTTCTGTCCTTCCAACTTGATGGCTTTGACCAATCCCGTACTTCTGACGAAACCCTTACGAAAATGTAAGGTTGATTTGAGGTATTAAGGTTGATTTGAGGTATATTTAAGGTTGCACAGAAAAAAGCAATAAAAATTATACCTCGTAAAGGTTGTAATTAAGGTGCACGAGGTTGTTTTATATACACTTCAGCTTGTTTTGAGGTTGTTTAAAATTCACTTCAAATCAACCAGACTGATAAGATGATTTTTGAGGTATACCAAGTTGATTTTCTTACACTTGTAACAACAGAGGTATTTTTGAGGTATAAAAATTTTTACCTTGTTTCAACTAAAGAAAGTGAGGTATTTATTGAGGTATATGAAGTCATTTTATTTATACCTAAGCTTATTTTGAGGTTCTTTTAAAATCACTTCATATCAACCAGACTGATGAGGTATGTTCCAAGGTATACCAGGTTGTTTTTCTTACACTTGTAACAAAAGAGGAATTTATGAGGTATAAAAAAATCAACCTTATTTCAACTAACGGGAGTGAGGTATTTATTGAGGTGTATGAAGTCATTTTATTTATACCTAAGCTTGTTTTAAGGTTGTTTAAAGTACACTTCATATTAACTAGCTCAATTCCCAGAGTTCCGTGCGAGCCGGCAAATGCCGTGTATGTTGACAATCGAAAGTGTATTCGAAATTCGGTAAGTGTGCTTGACATTTATTAATTTGGTTTTATCACTTTTAATCAAATAGGCTTCAATTTTCAAACTTAAATTTTATTATTTTTGTTTTAAAGATGCCTCCTGATCTTAAATAGTTTAAGTTGGAGGATATTCTTAGAAGCTATTAATGTAGGCTTTGCAATAAGAGAGAACAATCGAAATATTTCTCGTTGCTGTTCAGGGAAACGTTACTGGTGAATCGTTACCGCAGGTTATGCACAGTATATTTTATTGTTTGTAATTTATTCAAATATAACTATTCTTTTATTTTGCTTAAATGTATATGTTTCAACGTTGCAGTATGCAAGATGATTAGTTGAGTAAAATGTTCATAATTTCTCTTATAAATAAATCATTGAAAATTGAAATATCTTTAAAATAGTAATTTTGCTTTGAAATCGTTTGCTCGGATATCTGTTGCAAAGTTTATATTGTTGTTTATGACTCAAAATATGTATAATAACACTGCATTTTAAATCTGGTTTTCTTTTTCTTAAAATCTGATTAACGTGCAATTTCTTTTTCTTACATATATGTATATATATATATTTACAAAGCTTATCCACTGTTCCCTGATATTGCTGAGATGACCTAGGCTGTAAATAGCACATGTGCAGCAGCGATGAGGAAGTGACTAGCAAGTTACTGCTCAGCCTTCCCCTAGGAAATAGTTCTGAATTCATACCATAAAGAAAAAGTAATCTCTCCCAATAAACTACAGCATTTATTCAATTGTTGATACCAATAGTTTGTTAGATATTTGATAATTGAAGACTAGTAACTGTACTAGCTCGCTTTTTTATGTTTGATCACACTGCTATTTTCACTACGTGTTATTTTTTCTCAATTTACCCACATTAATTATTCACTAAGCAGATTGTTATTACTTATTAAAATATTGAATAGAATTAAATTTAACCCGATTTCAAGTTTATATGACAATTTGTTTCAAGGTTATGAGCATTTTTATGCAGCTGTTTATAGTTCACTACTTCAAAAATTAGCGACTTTCGGAAATCTTAAATGTTTTAGAAATAAGCCAGTATAGTTTCTTATGCAATTTTAATGCTGAATTGAATAAAATCAATTGCAAATAAAGACATTTATTGTTAAAAGTAATATGCAATTTTTTGAATTTCATCTTATGGGATGTGTTTTTATATTTAAACAAATGTTTGTAACAACTAGCTATTAGTTTTATTCTGCTTGGTATTATAAATTATATAGGAGATATTGTACTCAACTTATTTTAAAAGTATTATTTCAAATCATTCTCTCTTAGACATTTTCCTCACATAAAATTACTCACAACTTTAAAATAAATGCTACTTATCAACTTGTAATTTGTTCTATTCGATTGAGTGTAAGAAAAGAATAAAAATTGGTACATAACTTTAAAATTTAATTTATCAGACGATTGTTGATTCTTGATTACATTCATTAAGAAATATTAAAATAACTATTTTTTAAGAAACTCTTATGTTATTGACAATAACGGAAGGTTTAGGAGTTTAGGAGGTTTATAGGTTTATTGAGTTTAAAGATTTGGAAGAAAAGAAAGAAAGAAAATATAATTATCAAACTTACAAGTACCATAATGATGCCAAATGTATAGAAAAATACAAAGTGTTAAAACGGCATATTAAGATTGGAATTATATTTGAATTTCTGTAAATGTTGTTAATGGTAGTACTGATTTCAGTGTACTTTATTTTGTGGCTGTGGTACCTGTCATGCCTTTCAGCTATGAGGATTGAATAGAAATGGCAGAAGAGTACTACTATTTATCTGAAAAAGAAAATTAACTTCATCCAGTTAATTTAAATCATAAAAAAATAATTTCTAATATTTTAATAGTTTAAAACCTGCCACTATTATTGTAAATATGACTTACTTACTAATTCATTTTTTTTTTCTTTTAGGTTCCAATAATTACAAGTTTCAACAGGTAGACGGAAACAGTATTTAAAATAATTTTGTTGATTTGTAAAAAAATTAAATTTTAGTTTTAAATAAAAGTATTTGAATTTCAGCTGACTAATTAGTTAAATTTGTAGTTTTATAGCTTAAGAAATTCAAGCACATTAGACAACTATTTTCTAAAAATATGAGTTCCCATAAATAGTTTTTACTAATTGTAGAATTTAGATAAGTGTTATTTTAAGATGATTTAATTCAATCTATTAAAATTGCAGAAGAATTATGCATTTAAAACCTTCTTTTATAACTTAACAAAAGAAGCAATTACTGCCTAAGGTTTAATATTAAAAACTTCAGATTGATAAATGAAGATCTCTACTAGTTAAAAAATGTAATGACATACATTATTCTTCATATAATATAGATATCTTTATATATATATCATATTTTTTATATAGTGAGGTTAAAAATCAACTAGGTGAACACCTCACATTCGTAAGTTCTGAAAAAACAGCTTTAGGTTGAGCTACATAAGCCTGAAGTGTAAAATGTCGCATCTTTGGTTGATAAATTAATACTTCTAAAAATACAAAAATATATACTTCAGGTTACGAAATAATAACTTAAGGTAGAACATGGAACGCATGACGTTAATAAAAAAATAACCTTTCCAAGTGTTGAAAATACACTTCAGGTTGATTTATAACAACCAGAAGTGTAAAACGACGCCCCACAGGTTGATAAACATATACCTCTACAAACATAAAATTATATACCTGAGGTTGAAAAATAATTACCTGAGGTAGAACAAAATACACCCGAGGTTGATTTATAACAACCAGAAGTGTAAAACGATACACCATTGGTTGATAAATATATACCTCTATAAGCATAAAATTATATACCTGAGGTTGAAAAAAAATCACCTGAAGTAGAACAAAATACACCTGAGGTTGATTTATAACAACCAGAAGTGTAAAACGACGCACCACAGGTTGATAAATATATACCTCTACAAGCCTAAAATTATATACCTGAGGTTGAAAAATAATTTCCTGAGGTAGAACAAAATACACCTGAGGTTGATTTATAACAACCAGAAGTGTAAAACGACACACCACAGGTTGATAAATATATACCTCTACAAGCATAAAA